AAATCTCAAAACAAACCACATCCAAATCCCTTACTCTCTACTCTGCCTTTCACTATTCATATTGATTTGAAGAAGAAGAAAAGATTAGTTCAGATCTTGGAGGAAGAACCTGAAGTTGTCATGATCCCGGGTTACTTTGATATAGGGACAGAACTTAGCCCATGCTAAATTTAGCAAACATTGAGGTTGTTCTAATTCACAAAAGTTGCAAGCAGCCCCAGGAATATTAAACCAGGCAAAAACCAGCATGGCCCAAGGATATTTAGGCCATGTGCTTTTCCTAGCATAAGCTGGCCGTGGGAAAGACAGCACCTGTCTCTTATACACATCTGGCGGGCACCGCATCCGCGCCGGGAGCCTACCGCAGGTACGCCAAACACACCGGGCAGGGAAAACCTGCCACCGCCTTTCCGAAAGGGTTGTTGCTTATTGTAATTTTTGCTTAATACGACCGTGGATGACAGTGCCTTTATCGAGATCCACTTAACTGTGTTGAAACGTTGTTACTCGTAGACTGGCGTCGGGTTTATCCCCTGATGTCATAATTACTAAATGAGCGGAGTAATGACATAGTATTTCGAAAAGGTCGTTTGATTCCAGGTAAAAATCTTCTCACAGCACCGATGTGAATTGCTTTGAAATGTATCTTACACGATATGTTAGGTGGTATTGCTCAGCACAGCGACACCAGAGTGGCTTTTGTTGCATGAATTAATAATGGAATTGCAGAAATTTACACTGAAATCCTATTTTTTCCTATTTGTTTGTGTCACATGGCAGTATCAAAGGTCTTGATCCTGCAAATTTCTTTTGAACACTCTGCTCAGTGATTTCAAAGTAGCCATTGATGTGAACTTCAGGATTGTGGTACATTCATTTTGTGTTGTACTTCACTTTGTACTACAACACAACAGTGAAAAAACCCCAAACATTAACCATGAAAACCTAAAACATTCAATAAAAAGTGATGCATATTCCAAAAAGGAAAAGAAAAAAAAAAAACAAACCACCAAAAAACGGGGAGCAGTTTACCCTACTATATGTAGCCATATGTATTGTATGTTGGTCCTTCTGTCTAATGGGAAGGACTATTCCTGCAGACCCTTAAATGAGTGGCACTGCTAAGCCACAAGCTTCACCTGAATGTTCTGTAGAAGCATTGTGTGATGGTACCAGCACCACAAGCTAGTACAAACAGAAGAAACAAACAGGAACTTTTCTGCCTGTAAGCAGAAACTTGGGAGATTGAAAATAACAAATTGTTCTACAATAGTGAAAATTGCTACAGTGAAATTTTATCTGCAGTTAATGGACAGTTGTTGTTTTTCAGCTTGCTTGGAGAGTATACATTGCTTAAAATGTTTAAAGATCTGTGTCACATTATGCCAGAAGTCTCAGAACGGGCTTAAGAGGCCCAGGCAGGTCCTTCCATGATTCTTCTGAGATAGAGTATAACAGTTAAAGGCTTTTTATGGTGCTGTCTTTCCCACGGCCAGCTTATGCTAGGAAAAGCACATGGCCTAAATATCCTTGGGCCATGCTGGTTTTTGCCTGGTTTAATATTCCTGGGGCTGCTTGCAACTTTTGTGAATTAGAACAACCTCAATGTTTGCTAAATTTAGCATGGGCTAAGTTCTGTCCCTATATCAAAGTAACCCGGGATCATGACAACTTCAGGTTCTTCCTCCAAGATCTGAACTAATCTTTTCTTCTTCTTCAAATCAATATGAATAGTGAAAGGCAGAGTAGAGAGTAAGGGATTTGGATGTGGTTTGTTTTGAGATTTTTTAATTTTTTTTTTTTTTTAATTATTAAAACCTAATTGGTTTGAAAGTTTCTGTGGCTAATAAAGTTCTCAACCAGATTTAGAAAGGAGTTACCAAAAATCATGGGATACAAGGAGCCAGAAACAGCACCATTAATAGCATGGTCATATGAAGAGGCCCTGAAATCTTTGTTGGATGTGAATATCCACTGCTTTAAACAAGTTAACTCTACAGGGCAAGCTGTGATGACTTTTAACTTGTAACTGTTCCCTTTTAATAATAGTCTGGCTTGTAAAATCACTTTCTACAGCTCCACCAGGAAGGTAATCAAAGGGAGTTACGAAGTAACATTTGTGCCTTGCTTTGCAGGCACGAAGGAGACAGCGTTCATATACGCAGTGACGTCGGCGGGCCTTGTGCACTCGGTGACACGATCGTGCAGCGCAGGAAACATGACTGAGTGCTCCTGCGACATGAACCTGCGGCACGGCGGCTCGGCCAGCGAGGGCTGGCACTGGGGTGGCTGCTCTGATGATATCCACTATGGAATGTCATTCAGCAGAAAGTTCCTGGATGTGCCCATTAAGAACATAACGGGCAAGAGTGGAAGTGGACTGGCGGCAATGAACCTGCACAACAACGAGGCTGGGAGGCAGGTACGTGTCACCATTCAGAAATGGCAGCGGTTGGTTGCCTGTTCCCCTTCATTGACAAAATGGCCTCAAGCAACCCAGGTCTGTCCTTGACTGCAGGTACAGATGGGGCCAGTGGCAAGAACAGCACTTACGTCACCACAGCAAACATGTACAAACTCGGAATCAGAGCTGGGTTTAACTACTTAACTAAACTCCACAGCTTAAAATAAAGACCACAAAATAAGAATTAGATCTGGAGTGCTAATCAAGTATTAGATATTTGATATCCTGTAACAAACTTGAAATAATCTTGTTATCAGCATAATACGTTAGAAATTTTTTGACTTATTATTCTGTTATTATCATGACCAGCACTTTTAATTCTCTCTAATAATGAATGAGCAGGGAGACTGAACACAAGACATCATTATCCACCCACAGTCTGGGGTCCTCATCTGAGAGCAGGAGTCTAAAATCATTCAGAGAGGAAATCAAGAGTTAACCTTTTCTTTTAAAAGATGGGATGGAAACAACACCTCTATTTTAAAGTAGCCCACTGGTTAGGGCACTCATCAGAAAAGTGAGAGGAGTCTGGCTTCAGGTAGCTCTTCTTCAGCCCAAAGGACTTAAAACCTACAGTTGCAGAGGAAATATGTGTGTGGGTATGTGACATCAGGTCCTCTTGTCCTGTTCTGGAGATGGTAAATGGGGGCAGAAACAGCCAATACAGAGAGATGTGAGTCTAATGTAAGTGCTTGGGGCTTACATCTGGCATGGCAGAGACTTGGATTATGGTTCTTGCTTTAAAATTACTTTCTCTGCTTTACCTTGGAGTTTTGAACTTTGTCAGTGTTTAATGGCTCTCTCTGGCCCCATAATACTTTAAATCTGTTCTGCTCAGTGACACAGCTATAACTAAAGAAAGAAATTGAGACCTCTGGTTTTAAGTACACATATTGATGGACTCTATTGTAACTCAGTAATTTCCTGTAGCCAGAAGCAACATCAGTGGATTTTACTGAAAACAACTTTCTTATCCACAATAAATGGGGACTAGCCATAGTAAGCCATCATAAGGGCCATGGTGGTATCATTGCAAACTATTTTAATTTAGACTAATTTTTACACTTTGCAAGGTAATATTTAATTTAATTAAGATATATAGTTGGAAAACCAGAACATCTTTCATGGACATAGGCCCTTTTCAGGACTGAAGAAGCAAACTTTAAACCTAAGTAAAGGCTGAGAACAGTTACTCTGAGTTTAATTACATGCCAGTCAGCTAATCATCAAGGTGGTTGGTATTGTGTAGTAGGGAATGTAAGAGGAACAGAGGACTGAGTGATTATTTCCTTAGGGAAAGAGCAAAGGGTCATTTATCACATTTGTAGAGAGAAAGAGCTAAGGGAGGAGATAATAATCTCCATAAAATTTTCTCTCTTAATTTCATTATTTTTAATATACAGTAAAGATAAGAATTTTTATTTTAATACTCATGTTTGTCATTAGACAGTGCCATTTTCTCAGATTAGGTTGACAGTGAAAGTGTAGTGAAGAAGACTGCAAGGCTTCAGAGGAACTTCAAAGAGAGAGAGATATGCAATTTCTATGTTTTGGTGGCAACAACACAGGTCTTCTCTTTGATGCTCTGTTCTCTTGTCTGCCTTTAGCTGCCTTTAGCTTTATGTTATGCCTTTAGCTTTATGTTAGCAGCAGCAGTAGTTTGCTGTCCTTTTGTCTTCAGTAATGGTGTTCATTTATGGTCTTCGTGTACCAAACTTGTGTTTATCACTCATTGCTTCGGGTGTGCCATCACAACTGCCTGGGGTATTACACTCTGAACTGTGCCGAGGAACTGTTCAGCTTTAAAACCTACCCCACATGCACACAGAGCCTAGAAGAGAAACTTTTCTTTTGATGTTCTTTCTTTAAAGTTGGATCAGTTCCCTGATCTCATCTATAGCCGTCACACAGGCAGTTGGGCCACATACGTCATGGAGACGGGACTGACTGGAAAAGGGAAAGAGTGCGTTCAGCCAAAGACAACATATTTTCAAACAATTAGATAACGCTACAAAGGGTTGGAGGATGTGGTTAAGTGAGTCTTCATTTTCCATGAATAGTAGTTTTGATAGAATCTAATATATCTTAGATATTGGTTATATGCACAAGAATATAATCGATTCTGTGTCCACATTTTTAATGTCATGCAACTGCAGTATCATCTATTACTATTCATGTTGAGTAGTATCTCTTAGTATACATAACTTCATGAAACCAGAGTTTTAGACTAGGCTGTCAGATTCTGGGAATGTGGTAGAATCTGGCCCAACAGGATCCACTAGGTCTTGAGGACTTCTCGGTGTTTCATACTTTTAATGGTACTGAGCTCTCCAACAAGGCTCTCAAAGTACGCTGTCACAGGCTTATTTGGTGCACACCATACATACTTTCATTCCTTTTCCAAGTTTTTACAGAAAAACTCATCTGCTGCAAGCCTGAAAGACCAAAAGACCTGTATTTCACTGTTTTTATATCAATGGTGTATTTGTTGTTCATTATCTTGGAAGAAAATATGCAGAGTATTTAGTCAGTTTCCATGCATAAATATTTTGTAACTTCATAGAAAACTGTAGGATAAAGCAAGTATTTTGACCACTGTCCAGAGTGAAAAAGAATTTTTATTGTTGGTACTTGGGATTTCTAGCAGCAATATTAACTGAAGTAAAGTTTAGCAGAACTCTTCATTTTTGTAGTTCCAAAATATGTAACTAGGAGATGCTGGAAAATGTTGACCTTCATGTTTTGTGGCTTACAAGAAGGATGTTTTGCAATATATTTTGGTACCTTATGACCTTCTGTAATAAATACTATCATGTATCTGTGTCTTGCAAGAGCAGTCTTCCAGGGACAATACTTCTGTGTTTGTTTGGAGTTACTAATGGAACTGATATGTGCAGAATTCTCTTGTTCCTTTCCCATTTCAACATCTCATAGTTAAATCCAAGATATATCAATTTTAAAACAGTAAGGATCATTGGACTGAGTTGTCCGCTGTTTAGGATACTAACCTGAACCTCAGAAGATCCAGATTTCATTCCTTATTCTGCCACAAGATACACATTCATCGTCTTTTAGCATTGTAACGTTCAGTGTACTTAGATGTGCATATGTGAGTCGCACACCTCTACTCCTTATAAAAAAGGATGAAGGGAGTCAGGCACTATGGGTTGACTATTATTGTATTAGTATTTTTTTGCTGATGGAAGAATTATGCTCAGTTTTACACTTGTGGAAATTTATTTGATCTACAGGACTTGTATTTTCACATCAAAATAGCTTGGCTCTTCAGAGTTTATTTTTACTGATACCTGTGGGTTGGTAACATACCCACCAACAGTCTGCAATTGTTCTTAAGTGCTGTACCTCCGGTAGGACATATGCTTGTCTTCATGAATAGTCCTATTAGTTCTACCAGTGGCTTAAATTAGGCTGTTTAATTACAGGCATCAGTTCCCATTGCAGAACAAGTACTGGCAGCTCCTGTCTCACAGCTGAGAATAGTGCCTGCAAACAGAGAGCTTTGCTTGGAGATATTAAGCATTAATTGGCATTAAGGGGTATGCAAACTGTGACTCCACTGACACTCTCCTTTGCTGCAGACCAGTTTCTGCTTTCTGCCCATTCACCTGTTCTATCCACACATTCCCACCCCATGCCACTCTCTCTATTAATTGCATTGGATCAGTGAAAGGAAGTCAGTTTTAAAGTTGGTTTTTTTTTTGGGGGGGTGTTAATTTTTAACACAGACTAGTGTTTAGCACTGTATTCAATTCATCACTTAGCCCTGCACTCTTGTTGGCCTAGTATTACCAGGGCTGAAGGCAGCAAGTAGAAAATGGGGCAAGAGGAACTGCTCGGGTGGGCTGAACACAACACTCATGAATCCAGCTCAGTTCCACACTGATCATTTCTCACAAGCAGTCAGTTGGTTTCATGACCAGCCTAAGAAACCTGAAAACCTGTCCCAGCTTTCACAGAGGGACACATCTATCCACCATGTTTCTGTGAGTAACAGTGCCCCTCTGAAATTCTCTATGAAATTTTGTTCCTTAGGGAGAATCCTCTCACAATTTCATGAATAACTGAAGAGACTCACCATGTGACTCTAACAATGTGAAATGTAGCACTGGTTGTGGACTCAGTCTGGAAGTCACTCAGTAACTGTGCATCCTAGTAATTCTGTGTGCCACTGAGACACAAATGTGGTTAAATCCCTTCTGTTTGCAAATTGTGTGTAAAATTAATCTTTTGATATCATGCTTCTCTTTTCCTTGACATTTTATTAGGTTAGCTGTGTTCTAACAAAGATTTTCTGTTCTTAGATCTGAAATCCTCTTCTGTCTCAATCACTGTTGCATCTTAAGGATGCATATTCTGACTACTCAGTGATTTCCTTATGAATAGATCCTTAAGATACGAGCACCAGGCCAAGTCTGTCTATTAAACAGAAACTAGCCTTTGAAGGAGAGAAGATAAGTATATACAAGAATTATTGCCAGTTGATTTGAAAGAGTCTGCATGTACTCTGGGGTGAGAGTCTGCTTGTTGCAATGTTCTTATTTCTTCCAGGATAGGGAAAAAAATCTCCAACTGCAGAAGCAATCCACGGCATCTGAAAATATCTCCTGCACCAGTGCATCACTTCACCAGGTTTACTTTGCAAAGGCTAATGGCTGTTCTAGGTCAGGGCATACACCTGCTCTTTCTTGCTAATGGTTCTTTGAACGCCTTGCTTGTTTGGCTTTCATAGTAACCTCTACCAACAAATAGGTCCTGTTAATTCACCAGAGATGTGACTCCAAAGCAAACACTTTGGTCCTGTGTATTTTTAATAATGTTTGTAGAGTTATACACGAATACCAACTCAGGCTTGTGTCAATATATTTGGGGAAGAACATGCCAGGAGACCTCAACTCCCACTGAAAGCAATGGATTTAACCATGTTGGACTTGTCCCAAACTTCAGTGACCGCATTCACCGTGATGAAGAGTCCCAGTTTAACACACAGGGTAGAAATATCTCATTTTATCTGCTGCATGCCTTTACTAGCTCTGAAACTTTGAGAAAGGCATTTGTGCTGCCTGAGCTACAAATAAGCAGTCTGGGACTTGAGTTTACTTCTGGTCCTCCATAGGGTCAACAGGGCTCAGTAGGATTTCAGGGCTCTGATGTCACTGCAGAATCAAGGCTTAGGAACAGGCACAAATGAAACTATTTTCTCAGGGGAAACTAGAGAAAGGTGTTAGATTTGTCTTCTGTTTTTTTCTTCCCTAAGACAGTTTGAGAAAGACATAGATTGACAGTGGTTAATGTTTGCGGGGGCTGTGGAGTAAGTAAAGGTTTAGGATGAAGTTTAATAAACATCATGAAGTAGAGGTGTGAGGGGGGTGGTTGTCTTCCCCATTTTGTGGGAAATAGTGGTGAAATAATTCAAATCTGTATTGGCCCTGCTGCATGAGAAGTTTCAGGAGAAACTTCTTGTGAGATAATTTAAAATTCACATTTTCTGTTACATTTCCCAATTGCCTTGATTGTGGAAATTAAATATGGGGGGAAAGGTTAGTAAAATGGTAACATGGGCTTTCCAAACCATTAACCAGTGGCCTGCATGAGTCTATAGGATGGCTCCAGAGTGCATTAATGGAAAGGTAAAACAAAACTAAACAAAAATTATGATACCTTGTCCTTTTGCTGTATCTGTGCATGTAACCATTTTTCTGTCCACTTTTCCAGACTCTAATGTGAGATATGTCACTAGTCTAATTGTATAATTTTATACTATGTCTATTAGATATTCCAGAAGGATTACATTAATTGTCTGGTGACTATTTGAGTTGTAGTCCCAGATAAAGAAAGTTACTGCTTGTTTACAGATTCCACTTCTTTGAGGCTTGGTCTCCTATAAACTGAGCCAAAATTCTTGTGTGTTGCAAAAGCTTAACACAGGCTGCAGATTCCCACTGCTGGTCAGACAGTTATTTTTCAGCCCAGTGCTTGTTTCTACATGGGCATGGAAAAGTAGCCCATCTAAGGGTATTTTAACATTGGTAATAATGGAAAATTTTGCTAAAACATTGAAAGTTATAAAATGCAACTATCAAATGGTGTTAAATAAAGCCATTACACAACTGGAAACACTAGAAACCCATGATAGTATGAGTATGTCTAAATTACAAGAACAGGACTTGATCCTGTAAGTGAGAAGCATCTGATATTTACTTCAGAATATCAGAGCTGAAGATACATCTGCTGAGCTATAGCGACTCCTTTGGTAGACTTTCCATGGAGCTCAGAGACGTGGGCAACCTCCAGCTCTTCCAACACAGGTCTGTCCTGAGGTGCCTCCAGGCTGTATGCTGCACTGCTTCGGATGCTGAGCCACGCTGGTCACACAGGCACTGTTGTGCAACCTTAAGCCATTCCCATGGCCTTAGTTACATACAGACCATGTTGTGAATGTTTAGTGATCTTGATGGTAGCTGCAAGGCACCCTTAAAAGATGGCTTAGACCTGCCCAGAAAATGTCTTCCAACGTAGAAAAAGTGTCATTACCTGACCTATCCATGCTTCCCCTCCTACTATTCTCCATGAGGGCTGTTTGTATTCCAGCGGTGGGAGAAGCAACACAGGACATGTCATTTCAGGTATTGAGGATCCTCCAGAATGAAAAGCCAGCCAGAAATACAAGCTTTCATTATTCAGTATTGCTACGTTAGCGCCACTGCACTGTGAGCACTTCTGAAGATGAGGCTTCTCGTAGTGGGGGTCCAGAGTTGGAAACCTGATTCCTAAGATGTCTCATCCTGTGCTCTGGCTTCTCCATCACTGAAATGACAATGGCAGCTGTAATATTAACCTCTGTGTCACTGATGTCAGGCAGTATTCATAATGAATGAAAAACCACATCCAAATGTCATTCTCCCTTTACTTTCAGGCTGTAGCAAAGCTGATGTCAGTGGACTGCCGTTGTCACGGTGTTTCTGGGTCCTGTGCTGTGAAAACTTGTTGGAAAACAATGTCCGCCTTTGAAAAGATTGGCCAGTTTTTAAAAGACAAGTATGAAAACAGCATACAAATATCAGACAGACTGAAAAAAAAGCTACGGAGGAAAGAGAAAAGCCAACGAAAAATACCGATCGGGAAAGAAGACCTGCTATATGTGAACAAATCGCCCAATTACTGTGTTGAAGACCAAAAACTGGGGATACCCGGGACCCAGGGAAGGGAATGTAACCGTACCTCAGAAGGACCCAACGGATGCAATCTCCTCTGCTGTGGGCGTGGGTACAACACCCATGTTGTCAGGCACGTGGAAAGGTGTGAATGCAAGTTTGTCTGGTGCTGCTATGTGCGCTGCCGGAGGTGTGAAACCATGACCGATGTACACACCTGCAAATAAGATTAAGTACAGAAAACACAGCCAAACCATCCTGTTCTGTTTGGTACACACAACTGCCACACAGGCAGCAATTAGTCTTACTGTGTGGGATTGCAAGGGGATCAGCATCAGGGGGAATGGGTATTGCCAAACAAGGGCTAGTCTAAGCATTTGGCATATGAAAGACAACTGAGTGAACAGCAGCCTGAACACAGAGCAGCTAAAACACCAAAAAAGGACTTCTGATGACACATTTGAATATGTAACTCCATGAACAGGGACAGACACTAACCTTTCCAGTTCTTTAATAGCCACAGCATCCTGAAGATCCATGTGGTCAAGTAGGTACAGTGGTGAAAACTCAAGATTGCATTAGCCAGAGACTGAAGAGTTAAGAGGGCGTGTAAGACACGCTAGTTATAATCTTTATGTCTGTATTTTTAAAACTGGGGCTAGATGGATCCACTAGATGGTTCATTTCTGCAGCCTTTAGAGAAAAAAAAAAAAAAACAAAAAACCCAAAAAAACCCATCAAAAAGATAGGGGAATATTCTGCTGTTGACCGTGAGGCATTTGCTTTGTAACCTTTCAGAAAGCTGTCTTCTGCATAATATGCAGAAAAGTGTCTGGTACTGAGAAACATGCACGATTGCAGATTGCTGGATGCTGCCTGGGTGGAAGAGGAGAGCCCAGCAGTATGGAGCAAGTTGTATCCAGAGAAGAGGGGCTGGAGCACAGCTTGAACGTGAATGGTGTACCAAATAACAACCTCGGGGTTTTTTTTATAGGTTGTCTTTCAAACGCACGAAGTACAGGTCTGAGGAGGGACAGAAATACAGGTTGGTATTTGAAGGAAATAAAATCCTTCACAGGTATTTCCTCAGTAGCTGAACACACACTTGGCAAGTCAGCTGGTAGTCACCTCACTGTTGGACTGTATGCAATAACTTGCCATGTTCAACCACCTTGCTGGTGGTTCACCATCATTTTCACAATTAACCATACAAGATTCAGCCCAAAGAAATCTGCCACACAGTGAAAGACTTTTTAAAGCACTGCTTTATTTTATAGAAGCAGCATCTAGAACTTTTCATTAGGTTGCATCCTAAGCAAGTTCAATGCACAATGTAATTTATGGATTGGCTCACACCACTAAAATATTTAAAATGCTATTGATAATATTTTCTCCCCCTCCATATGTTGGCTCAATTTTATTTTACAACTGTGAAAAGTTGTTTATTTTTATGCAATGATTTAATGCCTGGCTTAAAAAGCATTTCTGTTGTTTAAATGTGCAAATACCTATTTTTGATAAGACAAGAAAGTTTATATTTTGTAAATATTTAAATTATGCAAGTTATGTAAAACATTTCCAAAACTAATGTGATAAGATTACAGCCTTTGACATTAGTTAGATATTTGTTACTACTGCAGTAGCCTTTAATTGATTTTTATTTGCATGTGCAGGGGGAAATTAGTCAGAGAATCACATAAATGTTCCTCTTTTTACCATCAGGGTGGTTATAATTATTGCAGTTAATACGCACTGATGAGAAACACTATGATTTTCTAAATGATCAATTAATTAGTATTCTGTATACTTTTAAAAATTCTTTTAAATCCATTTTACAAACAGTGAAATCCTGGCTCCAGTGGTTAAGTGCAGAACTTCCACCAACGTCAAGGGGACTTAAAAGGGTTTGCAATCCCTTAACTTGTTCTACACTAACAATCAGTTTTTAGAAAGAAATAATCTTAGACAGTTTGGTTGAGGCTTTCAAAGTTACTTTGAGGAATTAATTTCCTACTTGTCTAGTTATTTTCCCATGAAAGATGGTGACCAGATTCCCTGTCACTCTTTATGGGATGTGTAAGTCAGGAAGAAGCAAACAAAACCTTTTGTGTTGTGCCACTTCACTACCTTATGAGAAGTATCTTCAGCAACCAAGAAGTCCTTTATTTGCTGGATTTTTTTACCTTTCCTCCACATTTGGCCAGTCTCTCTTCATTGACCTAACCTGATAATTATCCTCTGGGTACAAAATCTGCTGTCAGTGGAAAGGGTGCTCAACATGCAGGTTGCTGTCATAGGAGTATTCAACACCCTCCCTGTGAAAACTTGGATGGGGAGGACGCATCCTGGTGGAAGACCCTGAAGAGAGAGTTGTGAGCCCCAGGTTGTTCCATCTTCTAGCAATGAATGTAAACCCAGAGGCTCCACAGGCCATGCCACAGCACCTATTGGCAGCATGGGTGAGACATGCTACTGGTCACTGTTGATATCAAGGTGTTGTAGAGGCCACCTCTTTCTCTTTCTGAATTTGCCTTACTGCCCTACTACCAAGCTGCTGGCAGAAGTGCCTCTGTGCCCTACGTAAGATTGCTCATAGTGGTACCTCCACAGAGTTCAATGTTGAGGTCACCACTGTTTTGTTGTATGGGGCTCCAGCAGGAACCAGCAGCTGGGAGTTCAGTGTGGAGACCAAGATCTTCTCTTCAAGCAGCCCCAAACCGTGTTTCAAAACTATCTTAGCTTTTACCAGACCTAAAGGTTCTTCCATGCCTGATGTGTAAAGTAAGGAAACTCACTAAGATGCTTCTTGGTATACCTTAACTTCTGGCAGGGTAGGAAACAGGGAGAAAATATTCCTGAGCTCATGGGCCTAAGGTCAGCTTCAGGGATTTGTCCAGGAGAAAAATCTCAGCAGACTGTTTCTGTGGGTTTGAAGAGGAAGGGCCCTCACATCAGTATTGCACAGCAACGTGGGGCAGTCATGATGCAGTCAGGGTGTCTTACCTGCTTGACTAGCTAGTATTTGAAGCTTTGTTATTTTTGAGAGGTTATCTAGTGCCCCCCAAAAATCTTTCTGTTCTTAAATTTTGTTAATAAAATACTTCTTTTTCTGGTTTTGTGGGGAGGAAGAGTTTATTTTTTCAAAGAATGACAAAAGACAATGAAGAGAAGTGGCATCACGCATGGTTTATGAAAGCTACAATGGCTGAGGCAACAAGGTAACAGAGGTTTGAAGCTTCACTGGCAGCAGAAGGACCCATCTTGTCTCTGAGAAGCTGAAAAGAGCAATTTCATGGGAGGTGGCATTACTCTCTCTGCACTGAGGGCAGGACACTGGTAAGACCAAGCACATGCAGTCTAAGGGGCAGCTGCTTGCTCTCCTACTGCTCCTAACATTGGGAGCTTGGAGGGTGAAGCAGAAGCAAAGCCAAGTGTATTGGGGAGACTGGAGCATGAGCCCCACTCTTTACCTATCACAGCTGAAAGTGCTGTTTAAGTTAAGCTCTGTTGTAACTTATCTAAGTTACATCCATAAAACTAGTTCTGGGTTGGCAGTGTCTGTAGAAGTAATTCTGGATGGGATCAGGATATGAACATTGTTTTGTAGTAGCAGCAGGGTTAAAGAAATTAGCTGACATCTATTGCAGTACTTATTCCACAAAACTGCATTTACTCTTTCTCGCTGGAAAAGCTCTCCTTGGGTGAGAGCAAGAGGGAGAACCATCTGTAAGACAGCATGCCTCCACTTTCAAAGAGGAACCTCCATACAACGTGTGGTTCCACTGCTTTTGTGGGCATATGGCACTGGGATGAATTTCATTCACTCAGTTTAATAGGGTGTTTTTTTTCTCAGTGCTGGAACCAGAGGATCAAGGCTGTTGACTTTGAAAACATAGCCTTATAATACTCTTGTATAGCTTTGCAATAATACATCCTTTCTGTTCAAAAGTAGCTACGTGTGTGCTTATCTGAGCAAGTGAGATTAGAAAAAAAAAATGGAATGAAATTCAAAGTCTGAGTGGAGGAAAGGTCTTATCTCAGTCCTGTTCCCTCACACTGCCCTTTTATGCATGAAGCAGCAGTTTGTGAAAAGTAGCAAACCTATGAAAAATGCCACAAGTTTACTTTTTGAAGAAAGGATAATTGTAACCTCTTCTGAATGTGAAAATGAGATATTCTGTTTTGAAAACAAATGCTTGTGCACTCGCTGCATATTTTAAGAGCAAAGTTGTGTTGTTGACTGAAGTGGTGACATACTCGGAGGAATTACTGCAGGAATACGGCGGGTAAGCCCATGGACATGCCAGCCTGTGTGTGCATCAGCCTGAAGAACACTGTTTTGTCCTTGCCTGTTGGAGATCCCTTGTCAAAGGATGTATAGTAAATGGAGATTGTCTCCATTGCTAACAAAATGTCTCTGTACTGGGCAGCACTTTTCAGTGAATAACAAGTATGTGAAATGTATGTGTAAACATCAACAATTAGCATTGGTCATTCAGAGGAAATTATGTTAAAAGGATATCCACTTTGGCTTAGGTTTCTGATGGAACTAAGATGCTTAATTTCATTGAAGGATTGAAGTTTTCACAAGATAGCAAACTTGACTTTAGGGCAGTTCCTCATAGATCAAAACTGTTGTGGCTAGGTCATGTAAAGTGCTGAACCCATACCAATTCACTCTGCTGGCTAAAGTATATTGAAAACATGTAAAAGGATCATTCCACTGTGGCAGACCTCATGCCAAATGAGGCACTCTTTGAGCCCTCTACCTATCCTCACACAGGATGGAATATCAGGAAGTATCAGAGTGGAATAAATGTAATTATTTGTTTCACATAACTTACCAAAAATGCTAATTGTGAATCCTCTCCTGACTATATCCTGTCTGTCCTACCTGGTGATGTGGAGTGCCCAGATCCAGTAACAGTAGTAATGGTGAATTCAGTATCATGACTTATGTTTTCATTTCATGCAAGGATTTGCAATAGCAATTTTTAGGATTTTTACACACTTCCACGATTTTTAGTGTTAGTGAATTGGCATGGGCAGACAACAGCTAGCAATACCTAACTGAGAAACAGGGCTTCACACCCATACATCCAATAAGCATCACTAAGAACTGCAGTAGTAGTATTCTGACTATAAATGGGAAACTGGGGAGAAATTACTTGCTCAAAGTCACTTGCAAAAGTAGTGACAGACCTATGTTTAAAAAACAAAACAAAACCAAACCAAACCTAAAAAACCAATAGGCAGGTGTCCTGATTATCAACTTAATGCTTTGGCCAGAGACCTGGTCTCTGCATTTGCTTCTCAGCCCACATAGTTTGAAAACTGTGGTTTGCCTGTTAGGACTGTACAGTAACCATCTGACTTGTGACTACTGGGCAAGTCCTGCTGCAGAGCCCAGTAGAGTTTTTCAAGGACAGGCAAAGACTAAAATAATCAGTTGTCTAAATCTGCGTTTCCTAAACATGGCCTCCTGTGGTTTGTATTTCTGTAAGTCAAATATGTTTTTTTCCCCTGCCACGCATGACAAATTCATCCTGAAGGGAATGGTGCCTGTGAACTCCACATTAATGCTGCAGATAATTAGTGCTAAAATACCCATGCCTGTCTCAGAGTTTGTTGTTACACTGAACTGACAACTGTGCAATTCCACAGGTAGTTCTGTTAAATAACTAATGGTTTACTGAGAGGAGAATGAAATGTGAATTAATCCTCTGTGGCCACTGTGTCAGGTCTGCAGGGCTGGATGTATGGTGGCAGACAGGAACATGAGACTGCAATTCATTTCACAGCTAGCAGATACCACTGACTGGTCACCCCTCTGGCTGAGGCTGGAATTTGGATGCCAGGGCTGATTCTAAATGGATGGCCTTCAGTGGAGGGGAGCTATCACTTTGTTTGCATAGCAAAGAGGTATAACAAATAAAGTGTCTAGGAGAGTGAAGGCAGACACACATGTGGAGTTTAAATGCACTAATTGAACTGGAGCAAGATCGAGACATTCATTACAGGGTAGTGCCACATACCTTGTGAAACCTTCTGCTGAACCTGAGCCTGGCAAGCATGAGTACAGCTTGTCACAGGCTGAAAGATCAGAGCCTCTCTCAGGGTTTGACCATTTCATTTTCCTGTCAGTCTGGCTATGTTTACGACTATACAGTGTCATTTTAAATAAGCTGCACAATTTCCTTGTTAATACTTCCAAGAATCACCAGCTCACCATACATTTTCTGTTTGTTTGGTTTGTGTGGTTTGGTTTGGTTTTTTTTTTTTTAAATATTAAGTTATATGTGTATCATGATTAAAATCCTGAAACTTCTGATCAGGTAAGACTTCTGTAATTATTTTCCCCAAAGCCCTGAAACTTTGTATTTGATTGTGGAGCAGAGCGAAACACATTTCATGAGTATTTATGTTTTCTAGAATAAAAGCTTGACACTATACTAGGGTTAAAAATGGACTGCAGTATTATTTATGTGGATGATGATTTACCCTCTGTGCTGAAAGGTACATTGTGTCTTGTGTCAGCAGCACGAAACCAGCTGACAACTGAAACAATGTCCCATTCTTTTGCATGGACCAGTCTGCCCCATAATCTAACAAATTAATTTGACACTCTATTGTGTCTCAGTATGTGCTAAATAATATTTTGATGTTAAACATACTGAGTTTTTAGAGGATCTATACGTCACTAAGAGAATCAACATGCACAAGAACACAGCAGCAAGATACTATTCAATTCCAGGTTAAGATGTGCTCTTTGGGTTTTTAAAAAACAGTTCTGGCTAGTCATTGCCAATGGGAGCAAACCCAGAAGTTAACTGAAACTTGGAGAACTAAGTTGATAACTTAGCAAACTTGCTGATTTTGGAGCTTTAGTCTGTAGTCTCACGTTAGGCTGGGTTTGCCTGACGGGTTGGCTGAGCTGATGCTCAGGCTCCCTACCCCCTGCCCTGACCCCAGCCTGTCGATCGGTTTAATGATACGGTTCACAAAAATACAACAAACAATAGATGTGGCTCAGTCTGGAGTAGCAAACTGCAGGAAGGACATGGGAGTAAGAACTCAGGGAGGTGACCAGTAGTAACTCCTTGAGCTGACTGTGCTGCCAACATCAGAACATTATCCAACTATGGTTTTGCACTTTATGTACATTGAAAACTCCAGGGTTTTAACATAAGACAAACCCCCAAAACCCACACAGCATGAATGGAGAGTATTTGACAGAAGTTCTGCAAACAAAGCAGCTAGTGAAATAAACTGATTCCAGTGATTTCTATGTAAGAGTTTTAGGTATAACCGAACTTTTGGGATTATTCAGTGCTACAACCACCTCCTGTAGAAGTTTTATGATCCCTCACAATGTGCTAACATAGGAGCCCTCTCAGGAAAACAAGCAAACCGTGTACAGTAAGAAGGGTTGATGCTTCAGGGCAGGCACATTTTCCATTGATCAATGATTTTATGGCAGTACCTCTTGGTCACTCGGGACTAAACAGCACTAAGGCAAGACAGAACAGTATCATACTCCCTGCTGCGACTATATTTGGGATAATACAATTTTGACCACTTAAATAACCTTGAAATATTAGTTGGGCTCAGTCGTGGGTTTTTTCCATTTGCTTTTTGTCCTGTAATTGCAATGCTAAGAAACCACTCTAAACCTCCTGCATTGTGGTGCAAGATCAGCAAGAGGAACAGAATTAACCAGCTGCTTTGGGCTGCCTTCAGGGATCAGAAATTTCCTATAGAGGATGGAGTGATTTCTGTGCATTTTACACAGTAGACAGTGTAGCTGGACTATTACAGTGCTCTATATTGATCTCTACCTGTCTATATATATTCTAAAGCCCTGAAAGTCTTCATTTCTACATACTTCAAAGGACAATAAACAGACAATGTTCATTTTATTTACTAACACTACAAAACTTAACACAAGGTGCAGTTACCTACATTGTGTATTAGGTGCTTTCAAGGCACCTATGAGCGCTAAGATATAAAAGCCATAAATCAAGACATTATCCACCAAGTTTTCCAATGGGAAGGATGATTCAGCTGCCAAGATCTGGGAACATGAGGCTGTATTGATAAAAGACAATGCTGAAATATTCAAGGCCAAGGAAGATAATTAGTCAGAATTGCTGCAGCATTTGATAGGAAAAAACATTTGCAGTCTATGTTCCACAGAGAAGACAGCACTCCCTTTCGCTGCTATCCATCAAGCTCAAAGATAAGACTCCTCCTCAGCTGGGAATGCCTTCTTTCATGCCAGTGATGTTGTAGCTATATCCTGGTATGGACAATACCCTAAGAAAGGAACAGATCTTTTCTGAGCAAACAGGTGATGAGATTTACAGATCATAGTAATTTTAAAAGGATAAATGTAAGATTAAAGAAACTGGGTTGCATGTTCTAGAAAGGAAAAGGTAGGGCCAGGAGGAATGTAAAAGACATCTAAGAAGAGAGTCATCAATTTTCAACTTGCAAAGAAGTAATCATTAATTTTCAACAAATACAATTTGGATGGTACATGAAACAACCTATCTAGATGGATAGTTAAGCATAGGAAAAGACATCTCGGGAAACTGTTTTAACCTGAGTCTGTGAAGGATGCATTAGATGTTGTTTGTAAGGCTCAAAGGGCTGACTACAGGAGCAGAAAGGAGGAAATAAAAGTGGATTTAAGCTAATATTGATAATCAGAAATGTAATGAAATATCTCTTGCCATTCTTCATTTTTTCACCTCCAGGGAGGCAGCAGCAGGAGGCGGCTGAGCCCATGTGTTTGTGCCCTTTTTGCACATTGCTCAGAGGGGGAGAAGCACGGTCCCTGGTATCACTAGTACAGCATCAGGAGCCACTGACACCTTGTGGCATCACTGTACAAGCCAAGAGCTGTTCTTGCACCTACCAGCTTTGGCTTCAAAGTTCCCATGCAGGCTTCCAGGTTTATTTCTCAATTTTCTTAGTCAGGCCCCTTATATTAAATCTAGGGTATGGCCTTAGCCTGGCCTTAAGAGATTTAAAACTGAAGCTGATTTCATCAATAAGAAGTCTCTTGCTTGGTATTCACCTTGGCCATGGCCCAAGTCAATTTAGGGAGAGATTACAGCCCCTCCCATCCTTACACAAACAAGTTAGTCAACATGTGTGGTGGTAGCATTATTATTTCCCCTCCTGAAGTTATTCCCCTGGCCTCTCTTTTATTAATAGACTCATTCTTGAAAAACACACAGAGTACAGAAAATCCAATCAGTTTAGGAGACATTACGCACACATCAAGGGTTTAGTAGTCACGTCAATGTTTGAGGGAACTAAGTGCCACAGTAAGACATCTGGAAAGCAAAACATGCTGAGCAAAAGGAAGCTTTTTGCAAACAAGCACTCAGGAAACTAAAGCTGTAAAAGGCTCTGCTGCTTCCAGAGGAAAAGAAAAAAAAGAGTTTGATCAAAGACTGTAGGAAAGACACAGAGGGCACATTAAGGCAGAGACACCCTTCAGCTTCTTTCTTAAAATTTCTGTTATCCATATAATGCAACACTTGTATAGCAATTGAGAGCTGTGGTTAACAATGAAGTCATTTTCAGGTGCCTTGAATCCTAGCTGGGTGCTCCTATGAAGACAGATTTTCTGAAAGTCTCTCTTTAGAGTAAGCATCAGAAAGTTTACCTCAAGAGGGGGATACACTGTAACTAGCCCACTCAAGGCAGAAGTGAGAGATGTCATGACTAGATCTTGTGGCAAGTCAACAGACAATGATGATGGACAAAAGCAAGGAGACCCCACCTGCATGGCCACTCCAGTACAATTTATATATTTGAAGACAGTCCTATTATATGTGATACAATACGGCTGTGAGGATATGGGTTAGAGAATAAGAGGAAGATTTTCATCAAAACCAGAAGAATCAAACTATTTAAGAAGTTACAAAAGTAATCCTACCATTTCATTGCTTTAAAATCTGTTGTTTAAAAGGTTTGTGGCAGGTGCAACTTTAGTATGACTTTTAACCCCTTAATTTAGATTATCAAGAAAAAAAGACACAAATTTAAAAGATACAAGTGCTAAGAGGTCTGCCTTTAACACTTAACTTTGTAGAGGAAACAAGAACTCTTTAATTTAATTAAAGATGAAATATTCATTGGCATTCAAAACCAGAATAATAAAGAAAAGTAGTCCAGGGAAACTATTAATGCAGACAAATGTTTGTTTCTCTTAAGCCCCTGCCAAGCAACTTCAAAATTTTGATATTATTCCAGGTAGCAGCATAACTAATTCTGGCATATACACCAACAAAACTGTATTTCTGTGAAAATTCCATGACTTACACAATTAGCTTTCCACAATAGCCCAATGTTATGAAATCAAAGTTAATTTTCCAACTGATAGAAACAGGGGTTTCCTCTGATGAAGAAATATACATGATTTTGACATGTCCTCCTACACAAGAAAATCTGAAAGATGTAACAAAAGCAGTTTCACTGTATAAGGTGCATTTATTGCTGTTCTACATTAAACTTGAGGGAAAAACACATTATTTAACAAGCTAGTTAAGCATACAGAACAACTCAGAATCCAGTCTTACTCTGGTATCACAGGTAATTTATTTTACTTACAAGGCAATTCCCAATATTGCTTGAAATTTGTAGTGCACAGAATTTAATTTCTCAAAAGACATCAACAATAATAGTATTTTGAGTGCCGCCGTGTTCAACTCGCACTGCGGATTCCTGAAAAATCCTTTGTGGCTTTTGCCCATGGTACTAGCTAAAAGTTTTTGAAAATCATACCAGAACTCATGACAAAGCTCCAAGAAATTACACCCAATTCTGTGTCAGTCCCTATTTTGTAAATACCAATACACACCATCACCTACACCATACTAACCTAGTTTCAGCAAAAGTTCAAGCTGGCCCTACTTAAAAGAAACAGAAGTTTCCAAAGAAAGCAACGTTTTCTCACAGCTCTGATACAAGCTAAAGAATAAGGCCACTTCAACCTGGTCCATTTTTTCCATTAAAAAAAAGAATGAAGGAAACATTGTCAGTTAAGTTAGTGTCACACATTGCATAACCCCAGATACAATGATTTCTCTAACATCTCACCACAGGAATAAATTGCCTCAGCTCATATTAGATGTATCATAGGCGGTAAAAATGCACAATTGTGTACGCTGAAACAACTCTCACTAGAAGGCAAACTGCTTTCTAACAGGCCCTTTGTGATGGGAAACTTATTCCTGATGTTAGAACTAAAAGAGGAAGCTGTAGCATTATGCACATTTACTATGTGACTAGTGACTACAGCTGAACAGCCATATGTAAATCAATGGTTAAGCAGCAGTACAAGAATTGCAATAAAATCTGAACAAGTTAGTCAACAGTACTGCTGCTTAACACGCCAAGCCTCTTCTACAAAGTAAACATTATTTTCAAGGAATTACAAATACTCCCAAGCTGCTTTTAAATATCATGCACTCTTCATATATTTAGTTTTGTTCTTCCCCTAATAAAAATAATTTCTATTGTGCTTCTCATGGCATATCTGCGTTACACTATCATGTATTCTTCCTTTGTCGATTATTCAGTTTTGATGGGGGACTACAAAATAAATTTCTGGAGCACTTTGTATTAGAATAAACAAATAGCTTTAATAAAAAGTGATGCTGCCATTAAAAAGGCAGAGGATAAAAAAAATTAAAGCTCTTTATTAACTTATCACTAAAATCTACAATATTCCACAAAGGTTACATACTGACAGCAACATTACGCTGTTAAGAGGACAGTAGAACATTTGTCAGGATCTGTTTATTATTCTCATATGCAATTTATTAGCTAGTTGATCTACAAGATACCTTTTACCACAGGCAAACTAAATACTGTGCTTTTAAGAAACCTGCATAGAAATGATTTGATGTTTCTTTTATTTTGGACATATTTACAAAAAGGATTTCTATGTGTGTTAGCAATAAATAATCCCAATATTCAAAATGTCAGTGCTCATGCACACACCGACAAGATGGTTGCATGCTTTAAAAATATTATTTATAGTACAGTCTCCTTCATAGCCCTCTCCCTAATAATAGTAGAAAGTGCATTTTCTTCTATATTCTTTCTTCTTTAGTTTTGTTTTGTTTTTTTTTCATTTAGTCTTGTTTCTGAGGGATACAGCCTTCCATCTCAACAACTTCTGGCCAGCCTTCATACTTGTTTGTGTCCTTGTTGTTCTTTATATGCTATAAATACAAAACATCAGTCTACTGTTAATGTAAGTAATTTATCCTTTTACTTTAACTCACAGCCTTAAAAGACATTTTATTTACTTATTTTCAGGCCATGGACAAAGAGAAGACATCACTATTAGCCTCTTGTGCTTTGTATCAAATATAACAATTAACCAAAAACAGTTAAGCCATACTAGGAAAAGATTTTTAAAATTTATTATGGATGTTTATTTAGGAAGAGAGACAAGCAAGGAAAAGACCAACTGCATTAAAGCATGAACCACTACAAAAAAATAAGGATACTGCATTTACAAAGCACTGAAAACAAATAGTCAGATTTTAAAGAACATTTTTTAATGTTAGCTGTTCACTTTTTTTGAAAATTAGGGAGTTTTTTTTCCACCAAGCAACCATCTGTGGTCAGTCAGGTAAGACATTATTGCCTCCAAGAGTATGCCACTGCTCCTGCCCTAGTTCCCATGCCCTCTCAAAGCTGGCAAAGAGAACACCCCTGCCTTACACTCCTAGTACAAAGCTACCTTTACCAGTAATCAAAGGCAACAGACACGTTGAACTGTAACAGCTAAAGTATGGGAACATATTCTATTTCATAAATTTCACTATAGCAGCAATAAATTTTGACAGAAGAGAAAAGTGAACAGCTGGGAACACCAACACCTTAACTACTACTTACCTGCTGGAGGTCTACCATTGTTAATGCATCTAAAAAAACCTTACCGTCTAGTGCTTGTGTAATTCTTCACTTTAATTGGATTCATTGAAAAGATAAATGATCTAGTTATTGGGATAAGATGACCTACCCCATAAGATTTTTTTCTTAGTTGTGAATCAACAAAATGTTTTTTCTACATTTAAAAGGAGGCCAGTCAAGCAATAAATTTGAAAATAACACTGTGTGCCACTACTGCAATAAATACCCATCATCTTAAACAAATGTATGGTATTTATAAAACATGTTATGCTGTTATTAATGTAATGTGTTATATTCCAGTAAATTATAAAATAACAGACCTGTTCAAATGGACTTTTAGTCTTAATTCCTTTTCCACCACAGAAGACCCAGTTGTCTCTAAATCCAAGGTTAGTAATAGACGTGCTTCCTAATTCAGCAATCAGTTTCCGTGCTTCCTCATTAAGCCTTGAACAAAACAGAAGGTCAGTATGTGAATAAAATACATACCTTAAGAGATTTTATTGTTCAACAGACCATTCACCTTTAATCTGATTAAATATAGTTTAAGTCAGTCAATATTGGGCAAGATCTATCTTTAAAAATCAGATAAGGCTAGTTCTGAAATCACTTGATCTTATGAGCACTGTTCTTTAATATTATAATCTCAAGGAACCTGCATACAAACCTATCAGTACACCAACAAAAGCCAAGAATCCTCTCCTGTGAGAATTTATACATACATCTCAAGTCACGTTAGCAATTCACCAAGCAACTAGAAAAGTCATCCTTTAAAGTAAACATTGTTTGCAGGCTCAAGTTGAAGTCTAAATAAAGTAAAAGCTATTTTAGATTAGAAGAATGACCTAAATATACAAAAGAAGTTCTTGTCTGCTTGGGTCAATTAATTTAAAATTCAGAATGCTGCCCCACAACACAGTTCAGTGCCTGTAGGTCCAAGTAGGATAATTTTAGTAAAGGGAAAACAATTCTGTAGGATGGTAAATTATCGTTCAAAAACTCCAAATAACAGTTCTTTATTTCTTGCTTTCAGTTACTACATTTGCCCGATTACTAAACAACACACAGAACTTCTGATTATTACTGAGATGTAGCTGAATGACTCACTTTAGCTAAAATTACGAAAACAGTTAAGTACTTTGGAGGTTATTTGCACAACCCACAGTCCAAGTTGCTAGAACACTAGGGCAGCTTGTGTTTTAAAAAATAAAAATATTTTATCTTTTAAACATGCTGGTTCTTCATAATTTTAATTATTTTCAAAAACCGGTATTTATGATTGCCATCAACCACCAGTGGTAAGGCTTTGGCTAATTTTATAGTATCAGAAATATGCAATAGTTCCTGGCTGTCAGCATGAATGGGCCAAATTGATTTGACTTAACTGATATTATAATCTACATAAAAGCTTTCAAAAGCATCAGCTGTGATTTCAATGGTTATTGAAACAAACTAACCGTACTTATATAAAACATTAAAGGAAAAACACAAAAAAGAAAAGTAATACAAGTAAATAGAAAAACAGACTGAAGATCCAGCCTTGGCATAAAGAAACATTAAATTCCTTTCTTCTAAAAGCAGTACAGGCACTGAACGATTTACTGCAAATACTGCACACTGCAAATACAGGACTTAGTCACAGGGAAGTTGCTTGTATATCAAAAATGCAGACAAGTTACAGATAACAAATTGAACCAAAAGAGTCAAAAAAATGTACAGAACACATTAGGAAAAAGTTAAATATTATTAAAACAACAAAGGAAAAGGTAAACAAAAAAACCTCTTAATTTTCACTATGAAAAGCAATCCTTTGGACAGGATGGCTAAAATGATGAGCAGATTACAATACAAATTCTACGGTCATTTTTAGTATCTATTAAAGCTGACCAAAGTTGGGAAGGTTGGAAGATAATGCTTAAAGTGAACTAAAACCTCGCAGGCTGTGTCTACATCAATAAACTCCACAGCTTTAAGGTGGAACAGTCCAAACACTGAGGCCAAAAACTATGAGGCGCACACTAGTAACCTCTCAGACTTCAAAAGAAAGGATATAGTCAAGGCCTATTGGGGATTGTCTCTGCAACCCTATAACCACCAAATTCTGTCTTGGAGTTGATCAGAGAAAAAGTGCTCAATGCAACCAACCAGTTTCTACCAGAGTATGTTCTGAGAATCACTTCTGAATTTACTACTATTAAGACAGAATAAGCTACCAGCAACAGTAAAACCAGCACATCTTCAAAAAGACAGATATCCTTGGAAGCATACATTCAAAAAAAAGAGGTGGGGACAAATTGTGGGAGAGCAGCTAGAAACATACAGGGTCTTCAGGAACCACAGAGGATAAGTGTATAGTTTTCAGAAAGTACAATACCTGACATGCAAATATATTCTTCATAGCTACGAGTAAGCAGTTTGTGGGACTGACTATATGCCCTACATTGTCTCCTTGATGCATTAACATCTTTTCTCAGAAGATCAAAAAACCCTACTGTGTATTGATGTAGCAATCGGTAATTAAGTCAACTACTAGTCTCTAGCCTTTTCAGATTTTCAAACACCTGTGTTATTTCTGCTAAAGGGTCTACCTTAATATCTAATATATTGTTTCTCTGTTGTTAGGATCACAAAAGTATACACCTAACAGCTCTCTATGTATACACATACATAACCCATTACACCTGGTTAGTTCTAATTTGATCCTTGTTGTCCCCAAACCACATCACCATTATAAAACTAATAAACTGAAAGCACAGTTTCAAGTCTGTCATCTTAGAAGAGCAAAACTTTATCAAAAGTGATTTCGTGATAAAGAATGCATTATTTTTTTCAGTATAAAAGAGCATTTAAAATTTTAAGCAATATTTACTATGTAAATCAATTACATACTTGGTCGCACCATCATCATATGTCCCCATTAACACAATTGTTCCATCCTGGATGGACTTCAGAAATTCAATAAATGGTGCCACATCTGAAAAGAGAGAACACAAAACGGTCTAAATATGGAATGGCTGCTTATTAAACACCTGCAATGCCTTCCTGCAAAGACATTCCTTTTAAGAATATTCGTAAAGGTACTAATAAATTTATAAAAAGATGCTAAGTGGGAGAAAGATAAAATGCAAAGAGAACTCTTTAATTTTACAGAAAGACTTTAATCCATATTGTGTAAAGACAACCACTAGCGGGAACTATTTGGGAGAACAAGTGTGTTTGATTAACCATACCATTTCCTCCCACCTCGACTACTGTGTTTCTTTAAAGTTGCACTCTATGCACAATTACAAAGCTAGAGGTGAAGCACCCCTTAACTATCACCTTAAACCACCACAGCTAATGGAGCCTGTGTGTGAGGATGAGCCATTTAAGTTGTTTCTCTCTAACCAGCTAAGGTAACTGCACCTACCTCCTCCCCACATGTCGAAGAATTTAGTGTCTAATAGTTCTCCTGTTTTACCTGCAGAAAAAGAAATATCTGTTGTCAACAAACACAGCCAGAAGTATTTTACAGACAATATGTCCAACTCCTCTTAAGGACTCTTTCAGAGAAAGTGCTGCAGAAGACATCATGTAAATCAATTACTATGGTAACTCTTAAGAAAATTGCTCCTTAAACAGCATAGTAGTTTGTGAAAGGTGCAGAAAAATGTAAAAGGAAAAAAATAGAAGATGCAGCTTCTGATTTTGCTTCGTGGCATATAAAATATAAACAAAAAAACACACAGCCTCTAAAACCAATAAAGAGAATTCACTTCATATATTTGCCTTTCTTTTAAGTTGCCTTTGCAAAAATAGATAGTACAGCTACAGGTTGCCTTTAGTGCGACATGTAACATAAGAAAGATTAAAATTACACTGCATATTTTGCTATAGACTGGAAAAATCTTAGCCAATTTGAACATCCAGAACAAACAGAAGAAAGTGGACAACAGAGTAATCTCATTAGCTTTTGGTTTTATTTTTAGTATGCTGTCTACAAAAGCACTATCTGACGGAAGGTAGAATTTTCTTTTTAATATGTGCATAAATATGCTGAATACTTCCTTTACCCCTCCTGCTCGCCTTTCACCATCCCACAGTATTTCTTCTTAAATTGCAGAAACAATTTGAAAATTAAGCTCACTTAAAATGTCACTTACCATTGACCAAGGCCACATTTATTCCTCTGCCAACATTATTTTTAACTCCACTCATTAAACTGAAACAAAAGAAACAATTTTATTTTTAAAAGGACAATTTTCTGATTTGAAACATTTCTGGTTTTTAAAGAAGATTGATCAAATTGTAAGAAATACATAGTTGAAAGACCAAATGTTCATGAGTACTTAAACAAAGCAAGGTCTCGAACAAATCTGCGTGCTCTTATGGCACCACTGAATTGAGAACAATCGATCAAATATCCCCAGCTGTATCTATTTCATCTGATCGCTCAATCATCTTTGTTTCAAAGTGTAGGTGTATATTAAGTGTCACAAAAAATAAAATGCTATTAATGTATTTAATAAAATCCCTTACAGTTAAAGAGCCTGAAACAAACAATAATTTGAGGAGCTTAGCACAGTCATGTAACCAACATTTTAAGCTTTTTTGTAAGCACATGATGAACAAAAATGTGTTCATGAGTTTAAAAGCTAACTCAGAGGAATTTAAAATTGATATTGCAGCATCACACCAAAAAACCAAGAAAGTCAAAGCAGTTAGCTACTTGTACCAATACAAGGAAACTTAAATCCAAGAAAAATAGTCAACACCCTGATGGGACTCATATTCAACAAAAGTTGAATATAATCTTGGAGCATAGTTACAACCAACAAAACCGTTGTAATCTATGACAGCAATTACTTGGCCAAACTCAGAGCAGCAAAGAAGCTGGAAAGAAGAAATGCATTGTGCAATGTAGGAAACTCCAGAAATATTTTAGCCACTGGAGGATCATTTCTTCTTGATCACATGACTTTCATGTCATGCCTGAGTAACCATTTTAAACAATAAAAACATATGGCAAATAAAGACTGAAAACAATGAAAAAAGGCAGTGAAGTTCTGAACACATTCCTTTGCTTAAATAAATTGTAGTGGACGTATGATTTACCAAAAGAATTAAGAACTTGATTTTATTTTAACTACAAAATTCTCTGTAAATAAACAGCAATCAAAAAATATCCAGTACTGGGGTGACAAGATGCTGCAAATCCACACATGCATACAATGGATTTCAGACAACAAAAAAATCCTGCAGATATGAATACAAGAATTACTAGTTATTAAAGGAATGTAGTGCAACACTCTGCTAGAAGGTTACTGCAGCACAATCATGCAACTGGCTTCGTAATATAAGTAAAACTGCATGAAGAAGTTGCTGGTAAGGCAGTATAGCAATATTGGCCCTTCTAAAAAGCCCATGAAGTAGCAACTACAATGAAATATTTTGACGATGACTAAATTATGTTTTTCTAATTTGGATTATGTCCTTCCAATACAGGAGAATAAGGCTATAACTGAACCTCTATACAGCAGAACTGCTACTTCAGACCAAAATAATAATAAAAATTAAGAAATGTATTCGGAACTATATCATCAACTTTAGTACTCTCATAAACCAAGTGACATCCTTATTTACAATATTTTTTTTCTGTGTATGAAACATATCATTGAAAAATAATGAAAAATTGTCCCTGCTTCCTTATCTTGGATGTATGAAGAATACAAATTAATCAGAAAAAAGCATTTTTCAGGAATGAGTTCATAAAATATCTCTAAAAAAAGAGCTACTGAAGACTAAGTGAGTTTTTTCAGAGCTCTGAGATACTACTTTACACAACTGAGATCACTCATGCACTAAGTCACCAGAAGTACAGGCTGTAATGTGACAGTTTTCTCACAGGAGGGCAGCCGTTCATCAGTTTTAGAATTCTTCCAACCATTAACAATCAGCAAGCTATGGGAGCTTTTGCAAGAGAAATCAAACTTCTTATGAGCAAAGCACGAGAGAATATAAAAATCAAGCAAATTTTCTGGTGGATGGTTAAATAAATATTACAAGTTCTCCTCAGAAGGATTAGAAAGATTTTTGTCAAAGGAAACTGGACTTAAGACTCTAACAGCTGTGCACTAAGGTGTATGCTAGTATTAAAAGAATATAGGATTTCTTGCCAGCCACCACTTTCTTTTCATCACTTACTTCAGTGAAATATCCAGTAGAAGATTTATGTCTTTTGGACAGGAACACCAATCTCTTCTTAGTTAACCAGTAAGCAAGACATTAAAAAAGTGCCCTACAATCCTGGAGTTAAAACATTACTTGCACTGCCACAACTTTTAATCAGCGAATCACCGTAAGTCTTCACAAGATATTAAGCTTCCTAGCAACCAGAATGAGAAGATAGCAAGTTTTGCAACACCAAAAATACAATGTAGACAGATTAGATAAGACTGTCCAAAGTCACAAAGGGAATCAGTGATAAGAACTGAAAGCAGAACCTAGCAGCTTTCAGTTAGTACATGCAAACTGTGCTCATGCTCACTTCGCACGTGCTCACCAACTACACCATGATGCTCTTCCGCAAACACATTCCTACACAAGTGAGCAAGTTTGAGATAAGTCAGCCTCACAGAACGACTTGAAATTTGAATAGTGCTTGTGTTTCTACTAATGACAGAAAGTGAAGAAGCTGCAAATCTTCAGTTGCCAGGGAAAAAACTTCACTACATCTTAATTGCTAGTTAGTGCTAAAAATAAAGTCTTCTCTAGGATCACATAAGCCTATTCTTACTTTACAGAGTAAAGTGATGAAAAACGTAAACCAATACTTTTTACTCTCTTACAGATTAATTATCCTATTTATTATATTACACGGGGTTATGTTGTTCACAGTGAAGTTGCCATTAGCACTAACCACTGTACATGCTATCCGAACCAACTCTGTAATACAGCATTGGCTGAGAAACAGCTCAACTGGAGTAGTTTAAATGCAAATGCAAGGCAACGGCAAAGTGTGATTGACATTTAAAAAAAAAAAAAATCCCCTGACAATGCTAAACATCATGTATTTTCTAACATGTGACATGCAAAATTGAGTGAATAGTTTGTGTTATGCAAAGCTGCACACTGGGTGACAATGAACAGGAACAACCTAAGAACAAAGAAGCAAAGTCCAAATAGGAATATTTCCTTTATGGGGATTACTGAAAGGTATTCAGTTAAATACGCACAGTATTACTGATAATACCGTGTTTAAAAATAGAAATACAGGACAAACTCAAAACCAAACTGTGTTTCAAGCACTTCCTTTCCTCATGTCACAACTATTTTAAATTGATTAATTTCCATCAGCACAATTAAGTAACTACTGATCATTTAAATAGTATTTTTCCCTTTCAAACTTATGCTTTACAGTGGAAAATATGTTCTGGCATTAGTACTATGGAAATAGTTTAGAAGATGTTGTGAAATTGTCTTTGCAAAATCATAGTTTTGGCAGATGACATTCAGTTAGAAATATAAAGAGTAATTCCTTAAAAATACGACTGTTCAACTGAATCACTATTAGAGGTACAAGAACAAGTTACTTGGAAGGTAGTTTATATCTGATTCGACGAAGTCTAACTAATCCTTAAGCCTGTAAACCTGGAAAGCGTAAGCTATCTTTCATCTATTAAAATAGCATACATTTCTGCATTTACTGAAGAGTATTAAGTGTGCTTCATCAGAGATGAAGTAATAATGCAATATAATTTTTTCATGTGGTGAAACCGATGGCAAAACAAAACCTACAAAGAATCATTTAAACTGCTGATTTTGTGGGCAAAGTCATCCAAGACAGCATTTGAAAGAGATACTCAGATACAGGTAAAAATACTTACACATTATCTTCTACACAAATTTTAGGTCCAACTACATTCGCTGCTCCACTTGCCATTTTGAATGCAAAATGCTTTTCAGGACAAGCTTTAGAGATCCCACATTTGTATCTTGGAGGTTTTGTAGCTTTCAAAAGGAAATAAAACAGGATTTTTAGAGACACCACCACAGGTAGGCTCACAGAGAAATATCAGTTTTATGAAGGAATTCAAGGAAAAGAGCAAAGACAAATGGTATCTCATCTGCAGTTTCAGAACAGCTTAAAATAATCTAGATTCTTGCAGTACCTCATTATTCTACTTCTTGTTCTCACCCTGCTGCTCACTCTAGTACTGTCATCAAAAACCACGAGACAAAACTACAAGTAAAATGCTGGCAAAAAAACAGACTTTACCAGAAATTTAGGAAAATCAGGAAAAGAGGAAAATTAGTTTCTGATTGCATTTAAAGTGTAATTAAGACTTTCCTAACTATGAAAATTCAACAGTCTGTTATTAGCAAAAGCAAGTCACAGCAGTAACACATGCATATGAATACTCACAGCGTGCAGCTGCATCCAGTGCTGATCTAGCTAAAATGCAAAAAGAAAGTTTTACAAGATGTTACTATTAAAATGTCATCTGCTATAAAATAATGTTATAAATTAAAAATCTTTCTGTAGCCCTATAAAAACAGGTTGGTTGAAATGAAGTATCTAATACATCTGAACATTATATTCCAATTAAAACATTAACCTTTACATCACAGAAGAATTAAAGTGATCAGGAACCACATTTAGAAGCACTGCCTTATTTTATGACTCTCCAATTAACACAAAGATCCACAGAGATATAAAAACCACCAGGGATTTGTGGAGGTGTTGGCACTGAAGTCAAATGAATTCCCCTCTTACAGCTTCACCAGGATGGGGCTCCTTCCATCTAACACTGGGAAGCTTGCAACTCAGATGCATTTGAACCAAACAATTCACAACTCCCTTTCTTGGGACAGGCAGAGACACAAGTGACCTCATCATGCACATATCTACAATGCATCTGTATACTTAATGACACCTATGTATCTTCAGCAATTATTAAAGATGTCTCTGGTGACTGGTTCATATGTCAGCTCACACTGTGGTAATCTGGAGTTAAACAACATGAACCTGACCCATGTACCTAAAATTGTGGGGTTTGTACTGAAAAGGCCTTTTAAAGATAAAGTTTGTTCAAAACAGACTCTGAATTTTCAGTCACCTCAGCTGCTAATCCTTTTCTGTGTAGAACCTGGGCACATCTGAAATGTTTTGATTACTGCATGTTCAATTGTACATGGTAGTGTACCTGTGCAAGCAAAAAAGTGCACCCAGAACATAAATTCTGAAATGCTTAAGCAGCAGAAAGGCAGAGCACAGATTTCAAAAACATCATTCAAGTCACCTAGTTTAAAACTCCAGACTAAAACTCTTAAGTACCAGTAAACAGAAAAAGCAGGTAAAGTTACACATACTTGGCAGGCAAAAGAATCAAACATTAAGAGAGTAGGTTAAATATTTCATACAGAAAATAACTTAATACACACATTATATATATGTCATACATAAAAACCCAACAAGTAGACACATTAAAAATAAACACAGAATTCTTAAGTCTAAGAACCTAAGCTTAAAGCAAAATGAGTAAGATATTCTTGACTGTGGCTGAAGTAAATATTAATAGATGTTCAGAGAAAACAAAGTCATCACTTACCAAATATGTGTCCTAAGTTTGCATCCATTTTTATTTCAAATACTTGAGATATGACATAAAACGTCAATAAAAATATTGCTACAACTACTACCAACTTTGCAGCACCTATTCAGAAGCAGAGACAAGTTTCAGAAAATTATCTGCAAATGATAACTTTAAGTTTACCAAAATTAATGACATGAGAAATGTGATTTCATTAAGGGGAACTCAAACAGGATGATCATTTGTGGACTCACTAAACAGAAGTAATCAGCAAGAAATTAACATTATAACGTAAGATGCAACTGGTTAGTCCATCAGGTTACTATCCTAAATACATAACCTGCTCTCAGCTTTCTCCAGCTTCATGCTTGTCTAGCACCACAGTACACCAACTGAGCTCAGCAGCCAGGATAAAACACATACTTTTTCATGGAAATCCAGTTTAACAAAATGAACTAAGTTGATCTAACTGGTTGCTATCCAAAGGGGAAATTCCACCTCCTCTTATTCCACTTCCCTGTTCTTAGCCACGTGCACCTGTTTCCTCACTGCACACAAACTCTTCCCATCTCGCCTGCCAACTGAGCTACCTCTCTTTTAATGTATGGCCAAGACTCAGTGATTATGGATCTTTTCATATATTGTAGCTTAGATGCTTTGATCAGCCAAGTTTGAGCATTAAAAAAACAAAACAAAAAACTAACCACAAACAGAAAAACAGCGCCTCCTCATCTCCTTTTCAACAAATTTATATTACTGACCTTCAAAAAGCAAGTCTGAAGACTCAGAGCTCATTTAAAAAGTAATAAAAAGCAGTACCCATCCCCTCCCCCTTTTAATATGTTGAAGCCTCAGGTAGTCTCAAGTTTTACAAGCCTAACTTTCTCCAGTGCTGAACAATCAAACTACCTCCTGGGAGAAGAGCTGGAAGCACACAACCACAGCAATTTACATCTGAAAGGGAAACTCAAGTGTATGTGGTACTGCCTTAAACCCCACCACTTTTCAGCATAATTTTCAATAGATTTTTAAAGAATACCCAATTCTTAGTTTATTGTTAAATACTGACTGAGAGAAGTGAGGAGCCATGTGATCAACATCCTGCCTTCCTGCCTCACCCCAGTATGTCAAACTGTTCAGAAGAAGCAACCTTACAGCATGCTTCTGTTCCTCAGATTGCCAGCCAAATAAATCCTTCAGAAAAAACCCAAACTTATGTACTCCTGCAAATCTCAAACTGCTGCTGTGATGGGCTGTTCAGAAAACCTTAAAATAATCAGATTACTCATCCTTCAGAAGGATAAGAGATGTTGATCAATCCTTCCAAAAGGCTAAAAAAAGATAAGGGAATAGAAAAAGAAATATGAAGAAAGAGATACAGCTTTTTTATTTGCTTGTATTTCAGTCTTCCTCTTCCACTTTCCCTTTTTTTTGTGTGTGAGCACATACATACTATGTAAGAAAACACAGATGCAAACTTAATTTAAAAATATTATGCTGGAATCCAAAGATTATTGCACTGAAGGGAAGTGAACCATGTGTAAGCACTGGAGAAAACAGATGATCTGAACATACATTAAGAAGTGGAAAAAAAAGTCTTCAAAGCACCACTGCTTAAAAAGACAAGATGGTACAAGATTTTGGAATGTGTCATCTAGCAAGTGGCATTTGGAGAGCATGTTGTTTCAGTAGACAGTAGGTGAGATGAACCAGAACTCAGTCTGAGCACTAACCATCCCTTCCACTCTATATCCTGAGTCTTTCAACCAAACTGAGAGCGCTCCCTATGAGGGAGAGGTGAGAAATCTAGAAAAGTCTTTTAGCACTTGAACTAAAACCAGCCTCTTTGCTACAGGTTCAACATTCTGTAGGAACTGCCTTATCATCTTTGTGGTTTTTAGCAACACAAGTAGTTAGGTGGAATTAAAAAGAAGTTTGGGAAAATAATTTTCCAGGTTATTTAGCCATCTTCTAAAAATTGCAGCATTTTCCAGTTCTTTATTAGATTTACTTTAGCAGGTTTTTCCCAGTTATACATATCGAGGTTAATAAAACAACTTTAGAAGTAGTGACAAAAATCTGGACTGAAATCCTGCATTAAGAAGGTTAATGTGCAACTCTTTGAAAAGGAGGTGTCATTATCTCCTACAAGAGTCAACAGTTGCTCCTTCTGAAACATAACACTACAAGTATTCACGAAAGTGCAATACATCAGAAACTCAAAACTGTTCAACTGTCACACAGGCTATTCTACTGCAAGGAAATGTCTGAAATAATATATTCTTGTAGTGTTAGATTGGAAAAGATCTTATTTTTACAACCCCTACACCTTCTGTCAAGTACAATCAGTTTCTCAAACCCTGTACTATAGTAACTTACCTCTACAAAAATGCTTTTATAGCTTTCAAACTCCAAGTAACCATTCATGAAATTTAAAACACTTTTGGTTAGGGTGTGAGGCAGGGAAGAAACTGCTTAAGGCATCAATTGGCTATTTCCTTATTCCTTCATCATCTTACAGAATTAGCAGTTGAAGTATGTCAAGTCAAGACACCTTAACCAGATCAGCTAAAGCATTTTAACCAGCTGCTTGCTCTTAGACATCCCAAATTCCAATCTGAGTTTCATTAAACATCAGTTAAGTGTAACAGCACTGCCTGTTATGCCAGTTAAGTTTATTTTACAACCTTAGTGTCACAAGTTGTTAATGCTGTCTATAGCACTTGTTTCACAAGTGACAGAGGTCTGATTTTACCGAGCATACTTACCTGCTATTCTCATGTTTAGTCTTCAGCCAGCTGATGACACTACTGCATTAAAAATAGCCACCTAGGGAAAAAGAAAGGTACATGATCATAATTACAGCCAAATGAACACTTTAGCAATGGGTTAACAGTAAAAAAAAAACAAAACACAGATTTTCCAGCCAATAACATTAATGTCTGCCAAACCTTTATTTGCACATATACCATGTCACTACGTGGTCATCTTTGTGCTTCTTGAATCAGGAGTAGGAGGAAACTCAAGACAGAAGATGTCCAGGCTGAGTGCAGCATGGGCCCACCATGGTTGAACACAACTCCATGTTATATGTGCAAATAAAGGTTTGGCAAACATTGTAATCTTTACTCATTAAATACTACATATCTATTGGAAAAATTATAATTTGTTTTACAACATTTAAGTAGATTAAGCGTGTAAAATTTTTTTAAAATTAACTGAAACTAGAATTTGCTTGAAAACAGAATGTTACCTGTTCTATCTCACTTATTCTATTCTTATATAAGTAAAAAAGAGCCCTCAGTCACTTCCAAAAGAGACATTCAGACAATTAGCAGTCTGTAAACAGTACTTCCCTTCTGGATTTAAAAAAAAAAAAAAAAAAATCTTTCTGAATTTGCATTTTTCTGCATAACTGCTTCTATTTAATATGGCAAAAGAAAAGCTATTGGCATTCAGAGATCTTCTACACTAAGGTCAAATTTAAAAACATATAATAAACTATTATTCTAACCCAAGTAGCCATCCCACCACACTCCCATCACAAAAACTACAGCATCCCTAATAATCTGCAGTCCTATGCCATGTTTTCAAAAACCAAGAAAAACGTTATCCTTTGAAATTATTTGAAAAACTATTGTTATTAGAAGTCAGGAAATGCAAATCACTTGCAGAAGATCACCAAAACGCCCACATAGTTCTTGTGAGCTATGCTAGGGAGGAAAAACTGATTATTACACAAATCACCTTTCGCCTTCACTTAACTCAGTACCCATAAATTCGGTGATTTGTGTCCAGATTCTCTTTGCCAAAGACATAGTCATTGTGCTCTCCTGCTTAAAGTTTCCAAGAAAATGGGCAGCAGAGAAATAAACAGGAAAAAACAAATAAAAGTATAGAAATATTTATTTCTACTTCATAAGCATTTAAAATAAATATCAACAAAGTCTGAAAAGCAGACAAATGGTTTTAAATGCTAACTTTGCACTACAAGGGAAGTCTCATAGAATATTACAGACATAATATATCCATTGTATTTATAGCCACATATATTATATCCACATATATCTTCTCCAAGTGAAAGACTAGTATTTAACTGTCTTATAAAAAGGTAAAAAGAATCTGCCAGGGCAGATAAACTAATTTGATTTCAAAGTCCGTGAACAGAATTATTTTAAGCATTGTTCTCTCCCCTCCCCAACCCCCAAAATATATCAACATTAAAATAAATACTGTCTGTAGTTTGGACAACCACCAGCTTGTTTTAAGTCAGCACTGAAAGAAAAAAAACCCAAAACCAAAAAAACCCAACACTTTCCGCTTTTTGTTTTACTGTAACAAAAACACATAATAAATTCAAAGCATGAAAGCAATAATATGGACAAAATCAAAAAGCAAAAACTAAGTGAAACAATCATATAACCCAACCTTGACTGCAGAATGTCTTTATCCTAACACCCCCCATCCACCCATCCCAGTGATCATTATTTGTGGCAATCAACAAATACACAACAGATAAGAGGCATTTTTTAAAGTGTGAAATGGTTTTTGATTTTAAAAAAAAGTAAAAATTAGTATGTTATGCCTCCAATTGAAAGAAACTTTAGAAGTGATTTATATTATTTTCCTAAATTACAGCATATCAAAAAATTGTGCATTTTCATCTAGAGAATACAGAAATGATACAGTATAAACGTTGCACATCATTTTCCAGCTGCAAGAGAATAATTTATGAACATGAAATCCTTTTCCTATACAGCATTATCTTAGAATTGTTTGAGGATTTTTTTTAATTCAAGATAGAACAAGGAATAAAATAGGACAGTGCATGAGCCCTTATGAATGCTTATCAACCATTATTCCACATCTTTAAGTATCAGACCTTATAACTGGAATTATAGAAGCAATATAAAAATGGATTTGGAATTTCTCATAGTATTTTAGGACCGTTTAAAAGCAAACAAAGAACACAGGACCACAAATGAGCTTGCTCAGATTCAGATGCACAAAACCAGTAGCAACACCATTCCTTTGATTACTTTAGGAATGGGTTAAAAAATCCCAAACACTGTTTTTCTCCTCTTTGACATAAGATTCCATCAAGCAAGGGCAGCAGAATTACAACCTAAGTATCTTCTTGAGTCATGAATATCCAGTAATATAAATAACCACTTTATTACTACATTAACATAATTCATCTCTGTCAGGCAGTACAAGACTCAGATTTATTGCTTATTAGTGGGAGACTGAGGCAGGAGGTGCAGGCTATAGGAGGGTCTTTAGGCAGCCAACTGATGAGTACAGCAGAACCCTATACAGATGCAAAGGCCCAGGACAGCACCACATAAGAGGCAGCAGAAGCAATCAACATCTACAAGTCACAAAGTAAAACGGCTGGGTTTGGGAAGTATTATATTGTGTAACTGTGAAACATGGATTTTCTTACTCTTCAGATTGTTTTCTTAGTGCAGAACTTCAGAGCTTTATCAGTCAATGTCTAAAACTTGGGCAGTGGAAAGAAACCAAAAAATCCCTCACATGCAGTATCAACTGTATTGAAACAAGAAGCTATCCACTGAAGAACCTAAAACCAGAGCCTTCAGATGCTGGTTTTCCTCTATGTCAAAAGAAAGGAAGTGGTCACACCTCTCCTTCCAATAGGCCACCCTGGGGAATCACAAATGGCAGGTTTACATCTATCATGGACAACAGTAAAGGTGGTTTAAGTCAGAACGAATTCTAGTCACAATCAGCATCGTGAAACACCAGCACATGGCACATGCATTCATTCACAAGATAAGTATCATTGAATTTCAGCTATTCTAGTAAACTTCTGATACTGCTATTGGTCAAAGGAATAACTTTGCAATTCCTCATGAGTCTGGAGGAGCATGGTCTCCTTTTCCTGTGATCTCACTCGGTGCTAAAGGTGAGACACATCTTTTCTCAGCAACACACACACACAGAGGTCAAAGAGCTTTCTGAATTCCATGGCCTGTCATCACCATTGCCCAGGAGCCAGCACACAGAACATTCAGTGGCAAGATGTTCAGACCAGTGACCTTTCAACTACAGTAAGTCATATCCACATCCTGAATAAAGAGCACAAAACTACAAAGAAGTCAAGATCTACAGACTGGTAGAGCCAGGCCTCTTTGTCAGTAGCTGCTGGATAGTTTTCTTAAGTCTTTGATGATGCTAACCTTCAACCAAGCTCACCCAGCCACGCTGGTCCAGGAAGATGGTGAAATTACAGTATGTAAAGCTGTGAAATACTGAATAGTGGAAAACAAAGAAGGGAATGCTTTGTTAAACTCATGTAGAAAGTTCTCTGAACTGGCAGAACATGATTGACTCAACAAAAGGAAAAGAAAACCAGCAGACAGGCAGGAAGCTGGTGCTGCCATATTGGCAAGTTCAGAAATTGCTCTTCAAGCACAGCCTAGTGCATGGGTTGCTCAAACCCTCAAGAATAGGAAGGAAATCAGACTGCTCACTGAACCAAAGAAGACAAGAAATTACAGGTTATAGATCCTTTTTGAATGTTGGCATGTCATTGTCCATTCCCCTGCATGGAGCTCCACATCTGCCCATGCAGAAAAGTTATTCTGAATACAAACCAGTGGATATGTGGAAAGGCAGCTGGGAGCTGAGGTTACTGGTTGCTTTTTTCTACTCCACCCATCCTTGTGTATTGTATTTTGTCCCAAGGCAGAGGCAAGTTCCAGATGCTGCAGTTTCCAGACCCAAAGCCATTCCAAGCAATCCTCATGACAGCCCAAAATGCTATACATAAGGCATCATAACACAAGTAGAAGCAAAACAGGAAACAGCAGCTTAAAAAGGAAGAGAGAAAAGGGCTTTCCCTCACTCTGCTCCACTTGTCGATTAACTTGTGTGGGGATGACAGACTCAACACAAATCTAACAAATTTAGTACATACACATAGCTTCTGCACATATTTTGATACATACTAAAAGTAGCTTCAATCAGCAGAGCAGCAGATACTTGCTTTTAAAAGTGACCTGTGTCTCTTGAGGGAACCCTGCCAAGTACTTCACATAGGGAGCTTATATTGGTTTAGGAAAACTACAAGCCTATAATCTTATCAAGGAAATCATCATCATGTTTTATTAGAGGATACAAAGTTTCTAACACACCACAACTGAGTTCTTTTTGTGTTCATGTGTTAGATATTATGGTCATCAAGCAAGTTTTCTTCCTAGAATCAAGGTGCAAGAGGAAATTGTACTGAGGTCAGTAAAGTAATTGATAAAACACATACAATTATTATTAATATAGCCACACTGAAACAACACTGAATAAAGCCCAGATTTCAGTCCCAAGCTGAACACACTTCAATTTGATCAGTTCTTTACCAGCCTTGCTCAACACTCTTGCCCAGAGATGGTGCTGTGGGACACACTACATAGGGCACATGTCACTCAGGCACAGCCTCTGTCCTGCTTACTGTGTGTGAAAGCTCTGACCACTTGCAATGTACTTCTGTCTATAAGGATTTTTCAAATATGAATGCAATAAATGTTTTTATGGATAATACTGAAACATGCAGATTAGTCTACTTCATTCCCAGGATAATAGTATTTCCATTAGCAACTTGATAGCATGCATAGATTATACTTATGAAACAGGCACACAAAACCAAGCAAAGATAAGAGGCAAGAATTTAGAAGGTCAGGATAATTTTGAATTCTGGCATCAGTTGATTAGAAAAAGGTCCCAAAATCAACAATATTTATTAAAACAGAAAGTAACACACTTCAAAACAGATGTCAAATGTGACAGAATGGGCAGCAATAATGAAGAAAAGGATCCGAGAGATTACAGCATCTCTTTAATGTGAGGGTCAACAATGTGGTACTGCTGCAAAAGTGTAATTAACTGCTCATTGTGAACTGTACCTATAGGATTTTTGTGTGTGAAACAAAAAGCAATTATTCTGCTCTGCCTAAACAAATAAAAACTACTCTGTTCTATGTGCTATCTAGACTTTTAACAGAGACCCATATGTAGTTTTCTAAGACTGTTTTAAAGCATAATCCCCAAATGGAAGAATCTAGATTAACAATTACATGACCTACATAAAACAACTAAGGGCTAAAAGAATCAGATTTGCTTTGCAAGGAACTATGAAAGTAAAGAGAGAAGAACAGACACCTTTGTCTCTTACCTCCAAGGTGTAATATAAAAGCAGTTTTAAAATATGTTGAGATGGACTGGTATCAATATCCACTGGTTGCTGCTTATCTCTTTGTAGCTACAATGTTGGAGAAAAAACAGCTTCCCAGCTACAAGGGTAAACAAAAAATACAAAAGACGGCTGTAAATCATCATAAATAGCTGCTACAAGACAGGTTTTCTTAACCTACATAGTCTACAAGGTGAGAGTTACCTTCAGTATTAACCCCATATTTCTACACTACTACGTGCAAATCTGTATCCAGATATGTAGTACTAAATCTGTATCAGCCTGAGGTGCTCTGAATTAAATTCCAAGAGAAATTTTTCCCCCAAACAGAATTTAAGAGTTTGTATAGTTTCAAAAATGGTCAAATAACGTTATACCTGTTTTTTACTATCCACTAGCATACCAACTACACTGTACTAGAATAGCATGAATAGCATACCAACTACACTGTACTAGAATTAGATAAGCATTCAGAATTACTTAGTACCAAAAGAGGGGGAAAGAAAAAAAAAAAAAAAAAAAAAAGGCTTGAGCTTTTATTTTTATTTGTGAGTCATGAGTAGATTAGGATGGCATTTATTTTTTGCAGCACAAACTGCCTTCCTCAATGATTAGCAGCTGCATTTTTTTCCTGTCAGAGAACAGCTAAAATGAAAAGCCATTTTACCCTTTCACACCTGGTAAAATCAGTTAAACAACATTTTGTTTAATCCAGTCCCTGATAATAGATATTTCACTCTGTTTTCAGGACGTTCAGAGCTGTGGTGGTTTTCTACTAATAATTACACAGTGAATTAGATATGTCAGGAACAGCATTAGCTATTCTTATGTGAGCTCTGGTTTTAAACCAGTGGTTGTGCCAACCTGAAATACATGCCATGGACCAATTAGCGAAGACAGTTGAAATCATTCCAAGCCTAAATTTGAGCAGGAATCTAGGCTTCTAATATGATACTTTTATTCAAATACAAGAATCACCCAGATGATTGCTACCCTTCTGCTAGACTACCCATAGTTTTTCTACTATGTTTACAAAATTAATTTAATTTGAAACTGGTAAAGGGCACACAGAGAATTACATCATTTAAAAAAGTAACTATTGTAGATCAATTTTACTGTATGACCATGCACTGTTTGTGTCTTCTGATGACATGGACTGTGACCCAAGAAGTTGTTCCCTACAGGCACACCTACATCCATATGAATTCCTTGTGGTTATGGCAGAAATCCACTAAGGCAAAAGGTTTGTCCACACAAAACAACTTACAAACTCACATATATTTTTTTCTCCTTTGAGACAAATACTACCATGAAGAATAATTAACTACTTCTCACAAAAATTATACCACCTGAATAGTATTTTTCCATGTATGTGTAAGATTCAGCTTGGTGTTCTGACAGCACTGAATTAGACCCAAAGTGTTTGCTTGTCAAAATGAGATTTTATTTTACTTCCATCTGCAAATGAAACCCAGATAAATTTTGCAAATTTATCAAAACTCAAACTTACTCTAAAAAAAGGTAATTCAGTTACCATTGCATGTCCTATGTTGCAAATATTCAGTTACCATTGCATGTCCTATGTTGCAAATATTGTTACATGGATTCACTTCTAATAAAGGAAATACACGAGAAGCGGCATTATACCAGTGTTTCAATACCTGATGTGTAAAACAAACGCTTCCCAAAGGACGCGTCAAATCACTGACCATGCAAGCTTTTGCTAGTGGCATCAATCCAGTACTTTTACCTTAGGCAGCACACGAACTAGTCAGTCCCAAACACAAAAAAATTCTCCTGAAGTACAAAGGTATTCTTCCCACAGAACGAAACCCAACCCACATTCCTTTTGCAATGAAAGAAACCAAAAAACCCCAAACCTTCTAAGCACCCAGTCCATACTTTGAAGACTCTTCCCAAACATCACACAAAATTTTCTGGTCCATGTATTTAAAAACGGGATTTGATTTACTGTCCCTAAAATCCATACTATTTATAGGTGATAAAGTAAATTGTACCATTGCTGCTGATACACCTATTAAAGTGAATCTTAGCCCTATATTTCATAGGGTTAGATAAAATCACACAGAGAAGTTCAGGTAAACAAGGACAAACTGCTGAACCTCATTCACCCATTTGCTTTTCAACTTCATCACAGAGAAGTACATAAATCCCACAAGAGAGATTTGAGAGCAAGGTTTACCATTTTCTTCTGTCAAATGACGAACAAGCTATTTCGCAACTGAAGCACTGCTGCAATTACCACCTGTTCAAGAGTTCAAAACCACTGACTTGTTTTCTGTCATGTTTTTTGAAGAAACAAATTACCACCTTGATTTCATAAAACAGCAAAGTCTGTTCAGTCTTTCCACAAAAAGAAAGAGTAAATAAAGTTTTGCAATGCATTTATCTGCAAGATCACCAGGTATTACTCGGAACAAGGTGTTGCCAGAATCCAGTAGAAGTTTCAAATGTACAACAGCTTTTACATCTTTGTATCAATAAAAAAAAAAAAAAAAACAAAAAACCCACCCCAAACCTGATACAAAGCCTGTTATCAGAATAATGCATCACCACCATGCATCTTATTCTGCCCCTTTCAGCAATTCTCACTAGGACTACCATACAAAAAGATTACAGGTATGACAAACAATTAACATACATATAATTACTATGACTTGATATAACCACACATGACCACTGCAGAAATCTACCTGAGGCTACGGTTACAGCACGCCACTTCACACTGGGGCCCATTTTAAGTAGTTATCAAGCCAGCAAGCAGAACAGGAAAGACATATTATAAATATTTCCTCTATAGGTCCAAGTTTACTGCAGGAACACCAAGCTGCTCCTCTGCACCATTCTTCCCCCCAAATACGATCAGACTCTAGACAGTAGCTTTACAATGTCAGAATGAGATCATCTTATGAGTGAGATTCATTTACTGCACAGACCGCCACACTGACCGTGTCACAGAGCTTCACAGAGACCACAGACATAGCAAGGCACAGAGCTCCTATATATTTTGCAAGGCAGAAGATCAAGGGTACCAATAGTAGCAAGGGACATCACCACACACTGCTGCCAAAAACTACTATGATACTACCAAGCATTTAAGCTTCTTTAACAAAAGCTTAGCATGATCTGAGACTGCATTATTGGAAAAGACTTTTAACCTTTGCTCAGTAGCATGCTGATCTCACCAGGAAGCTGAGATGTGCTCATGAAGTACTCCCCCAGTGACAGCCACTGCTCAGCGCAGTGCTGTTATCTCCCTCCTCTTGCTCTAAGCGATATAGAAACCTCTGCTCTACCACAGAGCTGCTTCTCATTTACTCATCTTCCATGTGAGGCAGCGCTTTGGCAGGGCTTTGGCCCTTTACAAGGCAGAAAGAGCATGCCACTGGCTGAGTGGAGCACCCAGCAGAGAAAGCATCACACATAAGCTCTGGGGAGAAAGGGCATCAGCACAGCAGGCCCAAAGTGCAGAGGGGCCATGTTACACCTACAGGACACTGCAGAGAGGGATCATATTGCAGATACAAGACTGCTGCTGGGTGACTAATAACCTCCATGCTGCATGATGCACTTAGTAAGTCTGCAGATGACATGAAGCTGGACAGGAGTGTTGATCTGCTTGAGTAGGAAGGCTCCACAGAGGGATCTGGACAGGCTGGATCCATGGGTTGAGGCCAAGTGCTGAGTCCTGCACTTGGGTCACAACCACCCCATGCAATGTTACAGGCTTGGGGAAGAGTGGCTGGAAAGCTGCCTGGAGGAAAAGAACCTGGGACTGTTGGTCAACAGTTGGCTGAATATGAGCTGGCAGTGTGCCCAGGTGGCCAAGAAGGCCAGTAGCATCCTGAATCAGTAGTATCAGAAATAGTGTGGCCAGCAGGACTAGGGAAGTGATTGACCCCCTGTACTTGGCACTGGTGAGGCCACACTTTGAATAGTGTGTTCATTTTTGGGCCCCTCACTACAAGACAGACATTGAGGTGCTGGAGCATGTCCAAAGAAGGGCAACAAAGCTGGTGAAGGGTCCAGGAGCAGCTGAGGAACTAGGGTTGTACAGCCTGGAGGAAGGGAGGCTCAGAGGAGACCTTATTGCTCTCTACAGCTGAGGGAGGTTGTAATGAGGCAGGTATTAGTCTCTTCTCCCAAGTAACAAGTGATAGAAGAGGAAGCTGTCTCAAGTTGTGCCTGGGGAGGTTTAGATTGGTTATTAAGAAAAATTTCTTCACCAAAAGGCTTGTCAAGCATTGGAACAAGCTGCCCAGGGAAGTGGTAGAGTCGCCATCCTGGAGGTATTTAAAAGATGTGTAGTTGTGTTGCTTAGGGACATGGTTTAGTGATGGACTTGGCAGTATTAGGTTAAGTTGGACTCAATCTTAAAGGTCTCTTTCAACCTAAACAGTTCTATGATTCTATAAGGAAGCCGGTCAGTCACATGATCCTTAACAGCTCTAGAGTAACTCACTCCTTTCTGCTGAATTGCAGTCTCTAGTCTGTTTTCTGAGCATGAAAGGATTAGAACAAAGATCTGTAACTTACCTATTGGCTGAGTGTGATCTTCCAGCAACCAGTACCAAACACATAAGCTATATCCAAGAAAAATTAATCTCAAAATGAAAAACAGTTTCAACGCAGCCATCTTCTATCTATCCTTTGAGATTTTAAAATCTAAGAATTGCTGTAGGTGGGAAAAATTAAAGTTATGTGGGATAGCAGGTTACTATAGGTCATCACCTATGGAGAAATTTGCCACGAACTAATTTGAGGAACAGCATCCCTCAGTGATTAAAGGGTGCTTACCACTGAGACTCTATACAAAGCTGACATGAAGACACTGATATACAGTCACTGTATACTGTAACAACTCCTGATGCCATGCCTCTGCATCATGCTGTTGTAAGAGAAATTCAGTAATTATTACAGAAAATCCTGTAATAAACTTCTGCCTGAATTGACTCAGATGCAATTATAAAACCATTCAAGTGTCACTGATGTTCAGGTGACCAGCAAGGAAACAGCCATGGCAGTTCCCTCAACCACCTCACCAGGTACTTGCAGGAATATCTGGGCAGACCCAAAGGCAGAAGTGTCTGGGAACAGGTCAGTAGTTTTATAGAAGTGGTAGTACTAACTTATACCAGCTTAAAAGTCTGGGGAATGATGACTCAACTAACTGATGATGGCAAAATAGATCAAGAAAAAAAAGTCTTTGCTATTAGGAGATGCTTACTTTCTCCTCAGATAAAAGGAAACTGGAGAGATGGTGGGAGAAGGGAAGAAAGTCAGCTAGTCACAAGAAGAAAGTAAAAGTAAGTCTTATAACAGAGGGGGGACTGTGTCATCTGTTTTGACATTAATTAAGATTTTAATCAGAGTCTCATGAGAACTACCATGCTTTTGTACATATAAACACATTGTGCAACTTTCTGCCATTAAAACTGACTCAACAGCACTGCGCATTAAATGCAGGGCAGAGTTTACTCCAGCAGCTCCCTCTGTCCTGACAGTCTTCCAAAGCTTCTCCCCTATCCCATACCCTTTTAGCAATGAGCTCCAACAACAGCCAGAAAAAAACTAAGTTGCAGATCTGTCTGCAAAGGAAGATACAAACTATTTTGTATCACTGAATTACAGTACTATATATAGAGAGCAAAAATAGTTGGAACAATTCCAGAAGAGTAACTACTGATAACTCCCTGTGAAATCTTAAGTGTGACTGGATTTCAGGAGGCCTGGGTAAAATAATATTTGACGTTGTCATCAATGTCTTGGACTACTAAATAAGGATAAGCTTTTTTAATTTGTGGATAACATCAAGATGCAGGCAGAGGTGAACAAACTATAGGGTAGAACTAGAACTACGAATTATCTGGAAAAATATTTAAGAAAAAAAATCCTAAAGTCCTCTTGGGACACATACACCATTATAAAAAGCATGAGGAAGCTATGCTTAGATTCATAGTTAGACACAACATTTTAGATGATGAAGTAGGAATCAAGGAACACCTATTTATAGGTTACAGATGCTCTAATGTCCATCTGAGTTCAAAATTCTGGTGCTAAGAAATGAGGTTTCAAGTTTAAAGTTATTTCCAGTTTGAGCAATACCAGTTAAAAGTTATTTCCTCATCACTGTGCCTCAGGCCTGGATAGTACTAGGAAGCATGAAAATTTATGAGATAGGTGAGGTCACCTGCCAGCTTGCTCCAGCCCACTCACCATTTCTCCAGCTCAGACCACATGATTTTGCTAAGGAAAGCTAACCCAGTAAGAGAATTAATATAATTTCTGACAGATGAGCAGACAACTTTTAGTAGTATCAGCAGGTAAAGCACAGCAGCATCACGCTGTTAGACTTGCAAATTCATCTCATGTAGTCTCACTGTAAAGACTCAACATTTCTGACACTACTGCAGATTACATTTTTCCTAAAGTAATCCTGAGAATTTATGGACAGTCTTGGTTTCAGATCAATGTGAGATTTCCCAGAGGGATCCTTCTCAACTGTGAAACAATTACAGTAATTCCAGTGCTGTTGACAGCAAAGCGATTGTCACAGGGTTGTTCAGCTGGCCACTGGCAGAGAAAGCACCCGTTTACAATAATTACACCTTAAATCCTACACTTTATCAGAAGAGTTTAGTGAAAAACTCAAAACTGAACATATATATCACATCAGGGCTCATGGAGACGCTGATTGCCAACATAAGCTGTAAGACTTGCAGTCCTTACATGTCTATCCTCTGACTTCAGTGGACTGCAGGTTTACAAATCAGATCCCAAGTTCTATTTGAATAACAATTTCTCTTTCAACGAATTAAATCTTAAGGAACAAGTTCTTTGTGCCTGCTGGATTCATTTTATGAACACCTAATCTCTAGGCTACAAAATAATCTGTAAGCAAAGTGGTATTTTTACACCTTACATAGCACCGATTCATCTTATGATCTTACAGGAAAAAAAAAAAATCCCTTTCCCATATAGTATACTAATATTTCGAACAAAACGGGAAACTAAACATTCAGTTCACTTTTTAAATATCAGCTTGCCAAAGTTACACTAAATTCTCAAATTTTGTCTACACTATCACTCTTCTTAAAGCACTGAGAATTCTCATTAGATGTAGAGCACGTAAACCCTGAAGCATTCGGGCTGCACCTAGAAAGGCTAGGCAATAACTTGTGGGTACTGGTAAGGCGAATTTTTTAACTACTTACTCTGCAGTCTTAATGGGTGAACTGGTCAGGAATGCTGCCAAGAGATGGAAGCAATGGCCTACAACAAACCAGGTGCCTCCTCCATCCCGAAGCGATTAGATGTTATTACACGACAATACCAAGCTATTAGCTCGTAAAGAGCCTACCTGCAGGCTTAAAGCAAGTTACAAAACTTGTTCTGCTACAGACAACTACGTAAACGAACATATGAAAAAGATTTCTTCATACTTAAAAGAATGCCTGCGGGAGAATGTGTGCTAATGAAAACATTCACGCCTCGACTAGTTTCGAAGGCTTTAAAAAAATACTGTTGTACAGTCATTAACCAGCAATTTCGGTTTTGGTTTTGTTTTTTTTTTTTTCCTAACTTCGTTAAAAGAAGAGGACCAGACAGCTAGGTTCACCAGCAAAGAACCACCACGGGCTCAAATCCTGCACGGCGTTATGGGATACACTGAATATTAGAGAGAAGACCTGGCATATGCAGACATCTTTACGGAAGTCTGGAGTTATTGCGTCATCATTTAACCTCTTTTAAGTGTGAGAAAATGGAAAGATTATGGAATCACGTGAGTTACACAGCGCCTCTGCAGCTCTGGCAAAAATGTAACTTAAGATAGGGTAGCACTTACCTACCAAAAAAGAAAAATATAATTACTGTATTTTTTCCCCTACTTGAGCAACACGGAGGCTAGAAAGCAAAGGAACGCTGACTGCTTCTACTAGTATCTCTCGGTAAACCTGGACGCACAGCACATCCTCCTTCCTTAGCAGTTGAGGGCTGTTCCCTGTACCGGTGTATTTAGTGCTTTAGGTAAACAAGAGTTGAGTCCTATAACCCGTGTAACGTCCGGGATCCAGTACGCAACAGGGAGAGCACAAAACCGCCGAAAAGCAGCACCATTTCTTTTTCACTACGCTAAGTCTTTGTTTCAGCAGCAAGAAGCCGCCTACACTGCGACCACTTCACTTACTTAACTAGACCGGGGCGTCCGGCTCCGCCGAGAGCCGCCACCACCGGTGCCGCCGCCTCGGGCTCGTCCAGCCCGGCAGCACCGAGCGCTCGCACCGCCGCGGGCCG